TTCCCAGGTCGGTGATTTTGGGCTTTCAAAAATTAAGCGAAATACCCTGGTTTCTGGTGGTGTACGGGGAACGTTACCATGGATGGCCCCAGAGTTGCTGAATGGCAGCAGCACGAAGGTCTCCGAAAAGGTAAGATTTATTTTTGAGTTTTTGAGTTTAAAATTATTTAGTTTATTATGTATCTTTTACAATGGAGATAGAAGTAGATAGATAAGAAGTAGATAGAAGTATATATCTTTTATAGGGTCTGATTAATGTCGAATGACCTGGTAGACGCACTTCATTGCTTCCCTCGTCTGACTCTTGATTAAATGTTGCAGGTTGATATTTTCTCCTTTGGCATTGTCTTATGGGAGATTCTCACTGGCGAGGAGCCGTACGCCAACATGCACTATGGAGCAATTATAGGTAATTGTTTTTACTCTCTTCCTTTCGTTGGGGTTGTGCTTGCATGTCAATATTGTTGCACCGCTTAAAGACTGATGTTTGCCTCTGGATTTAATTTTTTCGAATTTTGAATACCTGCAGGAGGCATTGTAAATAACACATTGAGACCCACCATTCCAAGTTATTGTGATCCCGAATGGAAAACGCTTATGGAGCAGTGTTGGGCCCCTAATCCTGCAGCCAGGCCATCGTTCACAGAAATCGCCAGATGCTTACGAGCAATGACTACGGCTAGCCAACCTAAAGCACACGGTCACAAAGCTCCTAAATAATAATATGAACACTTGTGTCGGTTTTGCACTATTTAGACGCGATGTTTATTCGTTCAATCGTTAACTCATAAGATAGTGTGTATGATATCTGATCGGAGCACAGATCCATGGTTTCCACTATTTCCGGAATGGAATTGGCTCCGATCAAGCAGTTCCTTTTGTTTTACTTTATTCCCAAGAAACTCACGAAATTGTAGCGAGTTGTCTGAGCTTTTGGAAAGAGAATGCAGAGTTTGGTTTTTGCTGTGCACCTATATACATGCATTTATTTTATGCCAGTTTGCCAACATATCAGTAAGAATATGTTTAGGAATCAAATTTTAGCATCATTGTGTTCCTTGATCACAAGTTATTACTTCCCAACAGACTATATGCCAATGGCTTAACCGAATCGACGAGCTGCGAGCCTGCGACGACAGATTATATGACGGGGCGGGTTACTAGGAGTCTAGGAGGAAGAAAGGCTGCGCGCTTGCCATGCTGATGCAAGTATTTTCGGCCTGCCTTTCCACCTTAGGAAACAACCCTTCTCACTAGCCAAGTGTAGCCATCACAGCCATAAACAGATAGCATCATCCTTGCTTGACTTGTACACTTCAACACCGTCTCTTGAAACCCGGCTCGCCCTAATTGCCTTCTCCACTGGTCTGCCCTCTCAGGCCTCTCAATCCTGTTTGAGCCCTCGAAAGTGACAATGTTTCTGACTTCGTCCGCGAAAATGCTGCCTCTTGATCTTCATCCTCTGAGGGCTGTTTCGCGCGAGGCTAGCGTCGGGTTAGTCGAAAATTGCTGAGTAAAAGTGAAGAGACTCGAGGAATCTCCCGAGGAAAAGTGACCCGTTGTGGTTTGCATCTTGTTCCACCAATGTAAGCACAGATGGACCTAATTTCCTCAAAGCTTGAAGTTTGCCTTCAGAGAGCCTCTACTCTCTTTGACCTACGTACGCAAGTGCATGATGCTATTGATAAATAATGCTTCCCCTTCTCTCAAGTCCAGGTTCTCTCTAGTTAGAAGTGATGGTGTCACCGGCTCCGATATCAAATTGAATTCTGTTAGCATCCCTAGTGAGGTAGCCTCCTCCATCAAGGCTCTCATGCCATCTTCAAGCTCAAACGGATTGTGATCTTCAACGAGTCCCTTGGTCCACACCATGACTCACCTCCTCAACCCTGGGCAGCATCTTGGTTTTTGAAACCGGAAGATCACCCACTGGGCCACTCATATCCACATGATCTTCTTCTTCTTCCATCATAATCAAAACATCTCCATACAGATCATCCACCATTGAAAATATCTCAATCCCATCTTGATCAAAGTACTCAATACTCAATGCTGCTACTACTACTACCACTACTTTGTTGTTTCTCCATGGATTGAATGTCATTATCACCAATGCAAATGCAATGATCCATGTTGATGAAGCTGTCGACAAATTCGTCGACCTCGGAAGGAGGCAAGCATGGAGTGCTAGAGATGTGAGAGGGTGATGAAAAATTCAATCTCATTTAGTATTTCCTCCCACTCCGCACCTCCACCTCCACCTCCTCCTTGTTCTTGCTCAAGTCGCGCCGGACAAACCCTCCGAATGGCGAGATCATGGTTAGGCTCTCATGCAAGGGGAAGGAGAGCCAAGCATTGAAGCCTTCCAGTGCTAGGTTTTGGAGGAGTTTCTAGGGAGAGAACATCAAGAGGAGAATACACGCCTAGAGGTTTAGGAACTCAGTGGTTCCCCTACTCACATACTGTAAAATGTTTAGAATATTCCCTACTCATATGTTGTTACAACTAATTCTTGAAGGTAGGATAAGCTTTGGACATTTAGAAACTGATAAAAATCAAGCACCAATCGTGCGCGTAAGTGTTTTTTAATGGTAAATTACTATAAAATTCACATTTAATCAGTGATCCAAAATTGTCACGCACGCTTCGACGATTGACCGTAGCATAACTCTAATAAGTTTCACATCTCACATGAAACAAATAGGCATCATACTTATGGCGCGTTTACTAATCCGTAATCAAATTGAGAGGAATTGGATTGAGGGGGAATTGGATTGAGGAGGAATTGAAATGAGGTGGAATCAGAATCAGATTCCTGTTGAAGTTGTTTACTAAAACTGTCAGGAATCGGAGTAGGAATGATGTTGAGTCCATATAAGTTGTTTACTAATTCATTTCAATCGGAATGAAAACTAGGTTGATTACTATATTGCCCTTACATAAATAAATTATTTTCATACTAATAATTTAATTAAATTCTTAATTAAATTTATATAATAAAATTCATCTATATAAGCATGTATAAATAGGTTTTATTTATTTATTAAAAGATGACAAAAATGATATTGAGTCTAATATAAGTTGTTTACTAATTCACTTCAATCGGAATGAAAACTAAGTTGATGACTAAATTGCCCTTACATAAATAAATTATTTTCATACTAATTAATTAAATTAAATTCTTAATTAAATTTATATAATAAAATTATCTATATAAAAAAATATAAATAGGTTTTATTTATTTATTAAAAATGACATAATGAGTGTCAAATGAAGGGCAATGTTGGGATAATAAGAAACAAGTGAGGGCATAATTGGAATAAAATATGCATTCCTGATTCCCTTGCCCTTAGGGAATTCAAATACCTCACAAAACTAGGGAATCCGGTTCCTCCAATTTCAGGAATTGGATTCCTTGTTTCGTGTGGGCTCCACCACTTTTTTGATTCCTTAATATTTAGTAAACACCGGAATACTCCGTAATCGAAATTCAATTCCCTTTCTTTATTCCGATTACCCTTACGTAAACATGCCATTAATGGTTATGCATCATATTGGGATGTCCCACCCTCCCTGAAAGGGAACATGATAAGGGGGGAACAGCAAGTTTTATTGTTATTAGATGTAGAAGGGTTTATTATGAGCAGCCACAGCATTAAAAACAAACAGTTTGGGAGTTTTGATTTTTGAGTCGGTAACCGCAACAATTAGTGTGGGGCCCGCAGCTTTATTTGGGTGTCATTTGTTGTTTGTCACAAGTCCTCCTCGCCTTGGTCGGCCGACAAGCAATGAGACGGAGGATGTGGCCTCGGCTCCTCTGCTGCTTTGCTTGCAACCGATTTGGTTTTAGAGCAAGAGTGATGTTATCTGTACACTCTTTTTTATCTTTTATACTTTTTCAATTTACGGTCGAGTCACCTTTCACATCCACCCCAACGACCCTAGGTTTGAGAGGTTTTGTATAGTTGACCTAAAATTCAAATATAAGCGCAAAATAACACCACTTGAGCTCAAATAAGGACTTGAATGCCACCTGGTAGTGCACAAGTCTAACATATGAACAAGGTTTTGTGTGGGAGGATGTCTTGGTCCCTAGGGCAAAATCCTATGATTTTACTTTGTGGCTCCTCATGATATAAAACTTAGCTTTGTCAGTATGAGAAGAATAAATTGTATGACACAAGCGACACCAATAACACAAAACATTTGAATAAAAAACCAATACATGTCCTTTTTCTTCTCCACTGCGAAAGCATCCAACCTTCTTATAAGATGGGACCACACAAGTGTGACCGCACATGCAGACACGTGATCCGACACCTGTGCATCGAAGTTTTGTCAATTGAGATCTTTTCTGGATCCTTATGTTCGTACTCCAATGATCAAGATATCCAAATTACTCATTTTAAATCCAGCAATTCTCCTTAGTTCATTCTACTGGTTCACTTCACACAAATCAAGGGTCTCGAGCTCTCTCTCTTCAACTGCTCGAATCTTCTGATCATTAGGTTCCGGACATAGAGATTCGAAGAGGATCTCAATCCTTAATACTTAGTACTAAAGTCTTGTGGTATTCCTCTTCATTTAGAAGTGAGAGTTTTATATTTGAATCTCGTAGATGGCGAATTAGATATCAAATTAGGCTGCTCATTATGTGGTTTTGCTAAACTCCATCTCTTACTCGTGTAAGAATATCGATGTACTAAAAAAATAAAAAATAAATAAAGTCATGGGACCCCTTGTGTCACGTGACCTCTTGAAATTGCTCCACGATCCATCGACTCCAAACCGCATGCTTACCTGGACCAAATTATATTTCCGAAAATACCCTTTACCAACATATGTGCAGTCCTTTTTCTCATACGTCACAATCGTATAAGCGGGCATCCCTGTCCACTGTAGCCCCAGTGAGGTATCGCCGCGTGGCAACTCTGAACATAACTCCTCGAATAGTCAGAACTCTCAGTGTTCGAAACGTGTCAACCTAGCGATGCTCCCGAACTCTCTCCTTTTCTCTCTCTGAAAAGCCCAAACATTTCAAACTTTCTCTGTCCCTCCCTTTTGACCCTCTCACTCTCTCTCTCTCTCTAGATTCCTCTCTCTTTCTCTCTCTTAGGGTTTCTGCCAAGGAAAAGATTCAGCTAAGCTCTAATGGGTAATTCTTAATTTTACTTTTTTCTTTGGGTTTTCTGAGGAAATTTTGTTGTTAGATGGTTTGTTGGCTTGTTATTTTGTTTGTATCCTCTGTTTGGTTGCTGGGAAAGTTTGGGCAAGAAAAAATGGAAAATTTTCCATCTTTATCTGTAAGTGTTGTTCTGGACTGTGTTGTAATTAGTGGGTTCACTTAAGTTAAGCACTCAATGGGAAAAAAGACTAGAATTTTGGTTTTTCAGCAACCAAAAAATTAAAACTCACCTAATCCTCTGTTAACTGGTTGTAGTTAATTATCATGTATTATTCAAGCTTTACTTGTTAGAAACTTGAAGGCATGCAGTTGGCAAGTGTGATTATTTTGCATCTTGATCCATGAAAGCTGATTTTTTAGATTTTTATGCGGTTGATTTTCTTTTGTTCTTATTGTTTTAAGGGTTTTGTGTTCATTTGTGATTACAAAGAATGCATGATGTGCCATAAAATTTCGTAAAACAATTTTGGCATGACGTTCTTCAGAAGCGGGACGCGTTGTTTAGTGAAGGAACCGTGGGGGTCATTTTTCCTCAATCAACGGAGCAGATTGGTTAAGATGGGAGAAATTAGAAAAATTTAGACTCTCAAATTAGCTATATTTCGCCGGGGCATGGTACTAAGCATGCATATAGTGGATAGATGCATCGAAACAGAACTTGTGGTTGGTTATTGGGGAGGCGTAAACCTGTAGCTGAATTAAACAAAGCTTATTGAATATCCCAGTGTTCCTTCATCAAATCCAAAGTCCCCCCAGATTTTTGGTATAGGTCCTCCATATCAGTTTTTCAAAATATGCAACACCGACTATCCCTTAGAAACGGGAGTTGGAGGTGGTTGAAACAATTCGGTTTTGGTGTAAAGGCGATGCTTGAGCTTTAAGGTTTATATGTGTCATTGAGTCATTGAGTCAAATTTTGTTTTATGCTCTATGAAAGCTGTATATCCTCCATCAAAGAGAGGAAACATGTGTATTGTTAGGACCGTAGAATGGATGCTAAAGCTCACGAGATGCCAATGTAGAGTAGAATGAGGTTTTCGGTTCTTCAAAGGAGGCTGAAAGAAGAGTTCTTTTGAGATTTTCTTTTTTCTGTCACTTTTTTGTTCTTGTCTCATATAAAGGACCGCTATATTTTTAAGTTCTTTTATTCATTTTGTTATTCTTTATCCAGCATTGTGATTAGGGAGAAGCAAGGACAAGAAAGATACTTCCCCGTAATTAATCATGGATCACTCAGAACAAACACTACAACAACAGCAACAGCACCATCAACAGCAGCCTGCAGTTGGTGTCGTAGCAGGTTCTGGTCAAATGACATCCTATCCTCCTCCTTCCTATCAAACTGCTCCCATGGTGGCTTCTGGAACTCCTGCCGTGTCTGTCCCTTCCCCAACGCACCCTCCCACCACTTTCCCTGATCCGTCACATCAGCTTGCCTACCAGAAAATACAGCACTTTCACCACCAACAACAGGTGCAACAACAGATGCAGCTTCAAGAGTTCTGGTCGGACCAAATGCAAGACATTGAGAAAGCATCCGACTTCAAGAATCACAGCCTTCCACTTGCTAGAATTAAGAAAATAATGAAAGCTGATGAGGATGTTCGAATGATATCTGCTGAGGCTCCAGTTATATTTGCGAAGGCATGCGAAATATTCATATTGGAGCTGACTTTGCGCTCGTGGATTCACACAGAGGAGAACAAAAGGAGGACATTACAAAAGAATGATATCGCAGCAGCTATTTCAAGGACTGACGTCTTTGATTTTTTGGTTGATATTATCCCAAGAGATGAGTTGAAAGAAGAGGCACTTGGCGTGACCAAGGCTACCCTCCCAGTGGTGGGTTCCCCGGCAGATGTTCCATACTATTATGTTCCACAGCAGCATCCTGTGGGAGCTCCTGGGATGATCATGGGGAAGCCAGTTGATCAAGCAGCAATGTATGCTTCTCAACAGCCTCGACCACCTGTGTCTTTCATGCCGTGGGCTCAGTCTCAACCTCAACAGCCGCAGCAACAGCAACAACAGGCCCAACAGCAGCAGACGGACACTTAATGATTCTGGCCAAAGCTGTTGTCAAAGCTGTTCCTGGGCATAGTGTCTTATCGTTAGTGATGAGTTTTAGTACCGTTGGATTAGTTGGCGAGTGTGACACTACACCCTAGTGGATTGTGCAGTGCAGCTAAAGTTAGGTTTATTGTGTATGTGCTCTGTATCGCTACTGATTTGAAGTTTTAGCTTTTCGCGTGTTATTTTCTCGGATTTAGAAGTTTGAAAATTGACTTAATTTTTTAAGTGCTTTTGATTGTTACCTGCTTTGGCTGCTGTAAGTTTCCTGTCCATTATTTGCCAACGTATGTGAATTGACCAGAAACCAAATATGCCTGGATTCCACTTCTTGTCCTGGTGTTGTCCTTTGTCATGATTTTCCTTGGGAAGGCCAACTCTCTCCTCTTCCTTCTACTCGTTAAAGCTTCCCCTTTGATTGGAGAGATTCTTGCATAGAATTAGGACATATTTTTAGAGCACTTATCACGCACTTATCACATGATGAGTGCCGTTAAAATACGAGAGTATTTCTATGATGACACAAGTATGTCTTCTTTGACCACGTACTTATCAAGCATGCATGATGACTACCTAAATCCATATTTTCACTGGTTTACCTTTTCAAAAGGGTTTTTTTTATTCACACCCCATAATTTGTCGAAAACATCCCATAATTAAATTTTTTTCTCTACAATTTCAACTTTACCCTTCCTTTTGTTGAATCCACCCCACCTCCCAAATACAAAAAATCTATCACAGCCACCCACCCACCACCACCACCCTTCTCCCGTGATTCCATTCAACCTAGCCAAAACACAAAATTGAAATTTCATGCAGTTAGCTATACACTTTATAAATCTAAACTAGCTTATCAGGGAAAGATAACAAATTTATCGCAACATCCAAACAGTCTATCATGGAAATGATGGAAAGGGGTTTTTAACAGTTTTATAGGCTGTATTTTCATCCATAATCGCAGTAGCCCAATGCATGTGTGATCATTCCCCTCAATCCTATGTCAAATGCCAAACAAAAGCATAACTATGAAAGAAAGAAAATTAAGATTGAATGGGGTCATCGGCAAAGTTGTGGTTGTGGGGTGGGTAGCTGTGGGATTTTATTGTTTGTGGGTGGGAGGTGAGGTGGATTCAACAAAACGAAGGGTAAAGCTGGAATTGTAAGAAGAAATTTTGAATGTGGGGTGTTTTCAACAAATTGTGGAGTTTAAATAAAAACAACCTTTCAAAATTATGGGAAGAAAAAAAAAAGAGGCAAAATACATGAACTAACATGATAATGTATATTTGACGTAAAAATTTTACAATTTTGAAATTTCAACCGTTAAATCATAATCATTTTATCTTTGAAAATTTAGGGTTTAATTCACCAAACTTCATTGCACAAACATCAAAATGACCTTTTCCTCTGTTTTTCAGCTTTCAACAACCACCGTCTCCTCTGCGGTAATTTTCCCATTTCTACTATGTTTTGCAATTTATTTCATCAAGGTTTTGTACTTGGTATTTTTGTATGCATTTTTCTCAATGACTAGTAATTGTGGTATTTTCATTTTTGATATTCTCAAGGGCTTTGTTTATGTCCACGGGTAGTTCATGGTTTTCTTGACAATTTTTTCAGCACCGCCATCTGTGTACAAATTCACTTTTATTTTACCACGCGTCTGGACTAGTTACACAGCACACGATAGTTTTTTTCTGTAATTATTTATCGGGAAAATAATAAATTCTGGCTTCATTGAGACACTTAAGCCTGCAAGTGTTCAAGAAGTGTTCAAAAAGACCAATGATGCTCTCAGTGGCGTAGCTAGGATTTTCAAATAATGCGTCATAATATCAACCAAAAAAATCTCATTGGGTCATTTCGTCGAACACCTAATAGGCACCTGCCAATTCCTGTCAACATATCTCAAAAGTTTATGCCAACATATGTCGACAACTGCTATAATTTGTAGAGACTTGTCGAGAGTGGATGCAAGATACTTTGGGTAATGTTGAATTTTGTCAAGGCTATGATAGAACAAAATTAAAAAAGTAGGAGGACGAGGTTGTAATTTAGTTTGCTTATACGGGTCTAAACAATATACAAGCAAATATACATAAGATTTTTGAAGTTGTTAGAGGTCAAGAACAACTAATGACCCATGCTAGCTCCGTCAGTGGATGCTCAGAAACAAAGATATGATCGCCTTCGAGGCATTGCAGGGAGGATTCAGGCAGTGTTGGGGGACATAGCGACGCAAGGCGTGAGGGTGCAGTCAGCTGAGCTGGAGGGTTCCAAGAGCTACAGCTCTATTTATGATCTTCTTGTGCCTCGTTTACAAGAGGCTAATAAAGGAAATTAAGGCATGATTAGAGGAAATCGAGTTTGATTGAGATAAATCGAGGTACAATGGCAAGTAACAATAGAATGCGGTTAATTGTAAACGAGGTAAATGAATTAACTAGACTTGAAATAGCACTCCCACATATGGATAAAAACCAAAATTTGATGGAGATAAATCGAGGTTTCATCCAATGGCGGCGTCAGAATTTCAGCTTAGAAGAGGTCTAAATTTTTTATCTTAAAGTGCTCTTACGATATAAGAAGAATAAGGATCTGTCATGCCCTAAGTATCGACAACCATTATTTGAATTTGGTGTCACGTTGTTCTTGTCATCATTTTCCTCAACTCTAACCCATGTCAAGTATCATGACTTAGATACAAAATAAAAGTCATTGTAAGTGGTGAGGGGAAGAAGGAAGGAGGATGTGAATAAAGCAAAAATAAAAATAAAAACCAAACTCCCGCCTACTTTCTGTCTCTCTCTCTTTTGATCAACTAAGTTCCTGTAAACTCACAATGACGCCAGTTAATTGCATATGAGCCACCAGCCTCAAATCGAACCTAGTGAAAGAAATAAGGAAAAGATTCTGATTTAGGTCATAATCCCCTGAAATGTCTTTGGACCTCACAAGAATCTCCAGTTTTTTGTGTGAAAAAAATATGTTAAGGTAGGCCCGGGACCATTCTGGTCTCTTCATGGCTCGCCCATGGTATCACCTAGTGATCTCCTGCACACAAAAATTGGAGGTCCTCAGTCGACCTGGGTTTACTTATGAGAAAAAATGACTATGATTTCAAATCATGCGTTTACTAGCACTTTAGGGAATGCATAAGTTATGTATTTCCATCAATTTCAAGTATGGGATACCTGAAAAAAGAAGATATCCCATTAACATATGGAGGGTTGTCTAATGCTACATACCTAATCCTTCACGTCCTCATCTTTCTAGTCCTTCATTTGTTCATATCACCATACTATATAAGGAAACATGCCTAAGAACAATAGAAAATTCAGTACAGAAAAAATTGTTACTTGTAGAGCAAAATTTACATTTCGACATGTACTTGAAATGTGACTCTAACGCTACAATTCATTAAAATCAAAATTTGTTTGATTCAGGAATAACTAATCAACATCCTCGATATCGCTTCTCCGAAAAGGAAAATCATTATCTGGAGAGCAAGATTTGCACTTTCTGACATGGTATGTACTTAGGATGTAACTCCGACTCTACAATTCGAAAAAATACATTGAAAACCCGAAAAATAGATTGATGAGGAGGAGGAAATTGCAATTGCCCTGGTAGATTTCCAAAACCAATTAGCCAATCAACAAGATCTCAATTAATAATTAGCACTAATCCACACCATCATCAATAATAAAATTAAAACTCTTCTATTCATCCACTGCTAGTCTTCTCGTCTTTATTCTGGACGGTGATATCTAGACACCTCTTTTTATTTTCACGAAATTAACCCTAACCCGAAATTCAAGAACCAAAATTAAAAACGGTAACTTTCCTTCAAATTATATATTCAGTCTTCATCGACTCCTTCAAAAGCCCAAGCATACTCCTCGCGAAGCTTCTGTTCTTCCTCGGGCGTGTAATCGCTCTCGACGCCGAACAACTTCCTCACGTGCTCGACGCTCTTGTTCTTGATCCGATCCGCCACGGTCTGGTTCAGCACTTCCAGCAATAGATCGACGTGCAAGAAGTCGGCGGCCAGGATCAGCTCCATCACGCGGTCGGTTGTTAACTCCCTGACGAAATCGGTGCTGATTTTCCTCAGCTCCTTCCTCCACGCCTCATCGTGCTCCACTTTCCGATGCAGATGTTGGGTTTTGGTGCAGAAATCGATGATGTTCACGAGCTCCGCGCTGTGCACGTTCGGCAACGGCATCACCATGTCGCCGACGCCCTCGTCCTGGAAGAACGACTTGACGGTCTGGAACTGCATCGCGATATCCCCGTCGATCTCGAAGACCTCGCCGTCGGAGGTCTTGAGGGAGATCTTCTTCTTTTCCGCGCCGTCGTTTTCCGTCGTAGACGGCGCCTCGGAGGCGGAGGCGGAGGCGGAGGCGGAGGCTTCACTCTTGTTTTCCTCGGTGGCAGAGGCGGAGGAGGCGGGGTCTTCAATCTTCTTCTCCTCGGTCGACATGTCGTTTTCGGATGGATTCACGAAGGTGGGGTTGGAAAATGAATAGTGGTGAAATTGGGAAGACAAAGAAGGGGATTATATAGGGGCGCATTAATGATTTTCGAAAGGAATTTGGGAGTAGGATTAGTGAATGAACCCTAAAAACATGACATTTGTTGAAAATTCGGCGAAAAATTAGGGAGTTTTTGACATTGGTTTTTAATCGTTAATCGTAATTATTGTTTGCTAATCACACATTGGGACGGGAAAGCATGAAATATGGGCAAGGAAATAGAGAAGACTTAGTGCCCGCGTGAGGAGGAAGACCGGGTAAGTGTAGGAGAAAGGCCGGGCGGTGGCTAAAATATCCTAATAAGTCCTTCAAAAAGAATAAACCACAAAATTTACTTCCATCTTTTGCTGCCACCTCAACCAAATTATACTTTATGTGAAATGAGAGTAAAAGGTTAATACTTTTTTTTTTTTTTGACAAATGATAATACGGTGGGGGAGCGTACTAAGCAAGATAATATAGAGTGTACGGGTAAATTGAAATTTGATGTAGGGTGTAGGGCTCATAGCTAAAAATAAACCAAGGTAAATAAGAGGTGTAACTTTTTTGTGAACTTACCTTTACTAAAAGAGTGAACATTTTCAATAATATATGAAAAAGTATGTGTGTCAAATAGATGGACAAATCTTCACGGGGATGTTATATATTACCAAATCATCTATTTGTTCGATACAATTTGAATGATAAACAGAATGAGCGATTCTAATTACGATGTTTGCACAAATACATTCGTCGCGGTTGGGCGGATGAATGTGTTATCCTAAATATATGTTACATATATCAAACTTCTAATGTAATCATATATTGTATCTTGTATAAGAGTGATATGATAATTAATTCAGTGAACAAGGTTTACAAACCTCTCAAGTTGAGTAATTCTTACCCCAATCAAGAAACCAAAACCAAAACCAAAACCCTAACATCCAAACTTTCACCTCGGATCTCCTTCTCAACACTTCCCATCGTAGGCTCGTACGAAACCAAAACAAAGCCGGAAAGGAATGAATTGAATCTGTATGCGAATATATATTGAAAGACCAACATAACGAAAGAAGAGATGAGCGAATTAGTAGTTACTTTTCACAACATACAAAGTTTGAAATTTAATTAACAAAGAAACAAAGCAAGCTTAAAAATGGACATTGTATCCTTTGTATTAAAGGCCTACTCTACAAAAATGACACGATTGAAGTTTTTCGGTTCGAGATAGGCGCCAATTACTTGTCAGATTTTTCCCTTTTCCTCTTCTTGCTCCTTTTCTTCAGTAAACCTTTCTCTTCTAGCATCTTTAGCTTTTGTTTCTTCCGTTCTTGTTCTTTCTCTTCAAACCCATCATCCAGCATCTTCATCTTTGCAACACGCCTGGCCTTGAAAACCTGCGCGTTCAAGTTATAATACATAAGCAAATATTTCCGAAACTAAAAGTGGGTGTTGATGACTAGCTTTTCAACAAGCTTTACTTAACCAATAGGTCGTCCATGTATTTCAATCATTTCTTTCAAATGAAAAAATGCAATACCTTGGTAATATCAGCAAGAGCGTCGTTTTCCTTGCATTCAAATTCCTCCATTTGTTTCCCTACAACTTCTTCTATTTTCTTAACAAGGTTTACCTCTTTCTGCAAAAAAGCAATCTCCCTTGTTAACAAAACACATAATCACTTTTTTTCAAACAAATAATATTTTTCTTCTTCAAACAAAAGTAGAAAGAAAAACATCATCCCCCCAATTCTCAATTGTTGGAATTATGAACTACAAGTGAACGACCACCTCAAGATTTCTTTAATTGGAGGGAGGAAACTAGGAGAGAGATTACTGAGCTACAAGTTGCTAACAATAACCCATTTCGCTATGACCAATTCTGCTACTGCTACTTACTTGGGTAATGAAGCTGATGGCTAAACCTCCTCTGCCTGCTCTTGCAGTACGCCCCACGCGGTGAACATAATCCGTTGGATCCCTTTAAGTACATGGCAATTAGATTCTACTTGAACTACATTTTCTCAGAAGGTAGCAATAATAGGTCAACTGGAATAAAACCTTGGAATGTCGTAATTGATTACTAGGTCGACTGTCGGAATGTCCAAACCACGATTGGCAACATCAGTTGCAAGCAACACAGGAACCTGTCCAGATTTGAATCGATGTAATGCAGCAAGTCTTAGAGACTGGGACTTGAATGAATACAACGCTGAAAATCTTTGATCAAGCTCCTCTAGTAACAAACTCAAAAGGTGACAAGTCCTGCTCACACATCATAAAATCATAATTTGATAATTATTTAATAGTGTATGTCAATTGGTTAGCCGTTCAACAAACGAGCCAATCATGGCACTATAACATATGACAAATATCGGAAAAGAGAGATACCTGCATTTTGCAACAAATATGATGGCCGAGCGAACACCCATATCTTCAAGTTTAGACAAAATGTGTACCAGATAAACATCCTTCACACTTTTTGGTTTGTAAACATATTGCTGCTTTAGAGTGTCAACTGTTCTGAAACCTTCATATGCCTCGTACTTGTATGCCTTATTTGCAGAAGGTCTATTCAGTGCTCGGAGTTCACTTGTCATAGTTGCAGAAAATAACAGAGTTTGCCGACTCTTTGGCAAGCACTCAAACACAGCTCTCAGCTCCTCTTCAAAGCCAACATCCAATAATCTATCTGCTTCATCCAGAACTAGAAACTGAAACGAAATTAAATATTCTATAAGTACAGAATTCATAGTGAAGATGACATGCTGAATCCGTCGTTGTTATCTTCGTCAAATCACCAATTAATTAAAGATCCTAATGTTGCCATAGATAAACAAATTTTCGAATTTGTTACAATTGTCCTATTCAGATCATCATTACTTTAAAAAAATTCTTAGCTTCCCATCCATATCCGTTTTCAAAAAGAAGCCGAAAACTCAGTTAAATCGCGCATTACACCATGTAACCACATTGCAATCTCAAACAATACAAAATAATTGACCAAATTACTGACGAAAACAAAATGGCAGATACCAGTTACCTTGGTGTTAGAGAACACAGGACGAATATCCTTCTGGCCAAGCATAACCTTAATCCTCCCCGGCGTGGCGATCACCACATGCGGTCTAGCCGTCAAGCTCTGAGTTTGAGTCAAGCTATCCATGCCTCCGACAACCACAGAGCACCGCAAGTGTAAAGACGCCCCCAGAGCCCTAAACTGCTCGGCCAACTGATACGCCAGCTCCCTCGTCGGCGTGACCACCAGTGCGAAAACCCCGAAAGGGTTCTCGGAGAGCCGCTGCAGAATCGGCAGAGCGAACGCCGCCGTCTTGCCGCTACCGGTCTGGGCGATGCCCAGCACGTCCCGGCCCGCTAAGATTTCGGGGATGCAGTGGGATTGGACCGCCGTGGGCTTTTTCATACCGAGCTCGTCGCATGTTCGGAGGACCCAGTCGGCGAGGCCGAGGTCGGCGAATGTGGCGGCGGAGTCGGGGTTAGGGTTTGTGGATTTTTCTATTTGGAGGTCAGGGGCGGAGGGGGCAGCGGTTGCGGCGGGGTTAGGGTTTTTGGAGAGTTTTGGGGATTTGGTTGCTGAGGGTTTGAAGAGAGGGAAGCCGACGGAGACTGTGTTTTCTTCTTCGGCCATCGTGTTTTGGTTTCGCGGAAGGTGGCGGCTGAAAGTTTTAACCTTTGAGTAGGGTGTGACAGAAACGACACCGCTTGGCTGCTAATTATTAGCGCCAAAATTAAAATAAGGGCTAACTGCATTTTACACTATAAGATATAAGAGCACTCCAGTGTAGGAGCCCTCTCCCCACGCTATTCACTATTTAATCCACCTAGTGAACAGTACATGCCCTTAATGAATATTGCATTCCCCTCGCAATTGCCTTTTGCATCTCCACCCCTGCACTGAATAGCCCTGGCAATTGGCAATAAAATATTAGTATTTTTTTTATTTATAAAATAATACATAATAATTTTATTTGTAATTTCGGATAAGATTTTTAATCGTTCTCATTGCACCACGTGTCATTATTCGAAAAGCCAATAGCAATAAATTTTTTGTATTTTTGTATTTATAAAATAATTCAAAAGAATTTTATTTGTTATTTCAGATAAGATTTTTAATTGTTCTAGTTGCGTCACGTGCCATCATCCGCACAGACAATTATTGGTGATGGATTTCCGATAAGATTTTTAATCGTTGTGTCAAGGCACATGTCATTATCTGAAAAGACAATTATTGGTAATGAATTTCTGATAAGATTTTTAACCAATCACATCGTGTCACGTGTCACAATCCGATTACAATCTTTGAGGATGGATTTCCACCAGATTTTTAACGAATGACGGCATACCACGTGGCATTATCTACAACCTAATCCTTTCTGAATCCTCCATATAATCCACCATCCATTCTCATAAATCTCATACCAATTTTCTCAAGATCTCTATCATTATTCATAGTTTCTGCTTCCTTCTTCGCCAAAATCCCTATCATTCATTATTCATAGTTTTTGTTTCCTTCTTCACCAAAATCCCTATCATTATTCATAGTTTCTGCTTCCTTCTTACAATGTCTTCTTCTTCTTCTTCAAAGATGATATGGGAAATCAATCAAGAAGAGGAAGAATTGTTTAACCAATTAGAATGAATGTTCAATGTTGGGGATTGGGCCCAAAATGAGATGGAAGAGGATGACGAACGTAGACGGAGAAATGATGAATCAAGAATTGTAGGAGCCTCACAATCCTGCCGAGTCGTCCAAGCTGTGGCTCATATCTGTAGGCCCAACCGTGCTGTAAACATTGATAGAAATAGGCAACGACGAGGTCAGAAGCTCTTGGACGATTATTTTGTCCGTAACAATGCATTCCATGATACATACTTCCGACGTCGTTTTAGAATGGAATGACATTTGTTCAACAAAATCATGGGCGCTGTTTGCAACCATGATTCTTACTTTGTGCAAAAGTCGGATACTTTTGGTGCTATGGGTCTCCTGCCTGAGCAAAAAATTACTGCTGCCTTGCGGATACTTGCATATAGAGTAGCTGCAGACTAAGTGGACGAGATAACGAGGATGGGAAAATCAACCATTCTCGAGTCCCTGATGAGGTTTTGTTCGGCAATCGAATCTATCTACACCGCAGAGTACCTCCGGAGACCTACTCATATGGACTTGCAAAGGCTTCTGAAGAAAGGCAAGATGCGAGGTTTTCCAGGGATGATTGGAAGCATTGATTGTATGCACTGGACTTGGAAAAATTGTCCAAGTGCATGTCAAGGCGCTTATAGGGACAGAAAAGGATAAAAAAAAATCATTTTAGAGGCGATGACATCTTTTGATACATGGATTTGACACGCTTTTTTCGGAGTTCCGGGAGCTCAAAATGACCTCAACGTCCTTACCCAATCCCCAGTGTTCAACGATGTCCTGCAAGGAAAGGCACCAAAAGTCACGTATGAGGTCAACGAACGTATGTACGACGGGCCATACTACCTAGCTAATGGCATTACCCAAGGTGGTCAACATTTGTCAAAACAGTGCCACGTCCGCGAAGTGCAAAGGAAAAACACTTTGCAAGATGTCAAGAGGGGTGCATGAAGGATGTGGAGCATTGTTTCGGTATCCTCCAAGCTCGCTGGGCAATCATTAGGGGTGCTGCCAGATTGTTTGATGTAGAGTCACTTCGATCCATCATGATGACGTGCATCATTCTTCACAACATGATTATGGAAGATGAGTACGATTATGAAGCCGTTGATGAATATGAGCTAGACACGATGAACACTGGGGATTGAGCAAGGACATTGAGGTCATAATCATCTTCATCATGATCATGCGAGGCATGCTCGGGTGTAAAGTGTAGAGGGATGCTGTTCATGAAAACTTTTGGACCGACATGCACAACTCTAAATTTAGGACAATCTTTGACAATATTCCAACATTCAAACGAGGTGAATGTTTTGTTTTTTGCTTTTGGTTTTGGCACCATACCAAGCTTGTGCTTGAAGTTCCTGCACAATGCAGGAGAATAAATAATTATAATGAAAGTAGGTAACAAATAAATAATACAAACAAATAATTATAATGAAAGTAGGTAACAAATAATACAAACAAATAAATATAATGAAAGTAGCTAACAAATAATTATAATGAAAGTAGGTAACAAATAAATAATACAAACAAATAAATATAATGAAAGTAGCTAACAAATAATACAAACAAATAAATAATATAATGTTACCTGATCTGCTAAATTTTTCCCACTTCGAAGATCCACTAGCTTGTGCCAAGGCGTCACTCCACGTACTAAACGATTGACTAAGTAATTTCCAACGACTGGACATCGATTCTTTAGTTCTTTGCCCACCCATTTTCTCAAGATAATTGGTATGAATAAAACTCCACATTTCTCGCAACTGCATCTCATTACCCGTAATCGAATCATGAGTAACTTGAACCCAACTAGTACACAACGCAACATCTTCAAGAAGCGTCCAATTCGTACCTGCTTGAGTAGTCATTTTGTTGGAAAAAAAAATTGGATTGAAACTTTGAGAGAAAGATAGGAATGTGGTTAAAAATAGTTGAGAAAATATGAAATTGTGGTGTAGGGTAGAAGATAATGAGAAAGTATTTATAGAAAAGTAAAATCAATTTTTTTTTATAATTTTTCATAATTTTTTTTCGGATTTTTTTCGGATTTTTTACATTTTTTTTAATTTTTATTCACCTAATTAATCTCTACCTTTGGATTTAAAAAATTTAAATTCCAACACTCCAGATTGTGCCACGTGTCACAACAGTAACATTTTAGATTTTTAAACTGTTTTTTTTAATTTACAAAGCCTAATAACGTGGACCGTTGATCTTAGATCAAATGGATGAAATTAAATGAGACTTTTAAATGTTTTTTACCGTTGGAAATCCAACGGTCCATAAAATAGGACTGTTTCAATCGAACGGACATGGGGAAGCCATGTGGCTTCCCCAACGGTAATAATTAAACTGAGCGCTGTGGGCCCCAGGCCTGTTTTTTTGTTTGAAGACATGCGCCCACGCGCGCGTGACACTTACGCGCCTGACGCCCTCGAGCTCTCGGGCTGGCAATCCTTGACGGGCCTACTCCTCGGGCCTCGCCTGTCGCTTGGGCTTCCCAACGCTGGAGGTCATCCCCCCAACAATTTGTTACTGTTTGGAGGCTTGGCCCCCGAGCAACCTCCCTCGCTGGAGGTGCTCTAAGATTAGGTGTTCATTTGCAGTCATGAGTTTTCATTTTTGAATATTACACCACGTAATTTTGAATTGTATAAATTTTACCCCTACGTTGATTTTACCGTTTAATTAAACGTTGAGTAGTGAGTCTAGTGATGTGGCATAGTCTAGGTCCATATTTGAACCGTCAAATCAGCATTTAATATCTAATTAGACGATAAAATCAATGAGAGGGTAAAATTAGTGAAATTCAAAAATTACATGGTGAAATATGAAAATTGAAACCTCACGGCATATATTGCAAAAGACTCCAAATCTTGTGATGCAAATGCAATTAGCCCTTAAAATAAGTTTAAAAAATAAAAAATTAATAAGTTGGAAGGAAAAAAAAGGTGCAAATTATCCATTACTCAACAAAGTATTAAATTTTAACCAATTTAAACCACTTTTGCATTAGAGCATACGAATCTTCATTAACAACTTATGTGATTTGAGCGACAACCACTTCTATGAGGCTATCAAACTAATCATTCAGCTTATTTTTGCTTTCCTCCCTAACTTTTTGTCTAGCAAAAATTTTGCAATCCAAAGTAACATTACGCTAAAGATTTAGAATGGATAAGTCTCATGTTAGATCAAAATTAGGCTACCTTATGGTCTAACTAATATTCTTCAAAAGAGATACTCTCTTGTCATCAATTCACCACGTCGCAAATTTCTAGCAGACAAAGTAATCATTTTTTAATACGCATGAACATTAAATTAGTTGAAATATGCCACTGATCCTATGAATTGGTTGTAAGTGAATATTTTCTTGTGCGTATAGTTAGAAACTCAGAAATAATAGTTGCTTAAATTGTTAATATTTTATAAGTTTAGGTAGTGATGTGAATATTTTTATTTTTTTAATAAATGGAGTGCGGTTTTGAAAGTGACAAAATTTCGTAATTAGCTCAATAAAATATAACAATTTTATTTTGGACCACAAACTGTATGCATTGACAAGTGTCGCCATACGAAACACATCAGGCAAATGTACAGGCAAACGAGAGCTTCGTAGAAGCAAGCAAGAGAGAAGAACAGATAGAAGAGAGCGAGATGGACTCGCCGTTCAAGGCTGATGCGGTGAAAGGGAAGGTGGCTCTGATAACCGGAGGTGGGTCAGGAATCGGGTTGGAAATGTCGACCCAATTCGGCAAACATGGAGCCTCCATTGCCATCATGGGCCGCCGGAAGCAAGTGCTTGACTCAGCCGTCTCCGAGCTTCGATCTCTTGGAATTCAGGTACCTTCTCTTTTGTCAAGCTTTTTATTTTCAGGGGTCTGTTTGGTTGCTCAGAAAATTGAGAAAAATGGAATAGATACGATTCTGTTTGTTCTTTGTGATCAGTGAACTATTTTGGTAATTGTATGCATTATCAGTATGCTCTGATTTCCCAGCTGGGTCTTTTTTGTTTTTGTTTGTGTTTCTGGTTTGCTGAATCGTGGGGTTGTTTGGTTGCTGAGAAAATGAGGGAAATGAAATGTAGTTCCTTTTTCAGAAAAAGATAATAAATGTTTTCTGTTGTTCTGCTTGGTTGATTGAAAAAGCCGGTGAATTTCGGAATTTTATTTCGGAGTTTAATTTATACTTTATATGCCCATCTGGGTTTACCGTACACTATCTCAACTAAAATTGATTTTTGGGTGCCAAGGAATTACAAGTGTTAAATACTTAAGTTAATATGCATTAGCGGATTCTTTGCTCTCATGATCATTGCATTGGTGTAAACTTTGGATTTGAAAGGGCGTGTGTCAGTTGTTTTTTGGTCGAAATGTGTTTACAGGTAATGTTTTGTCTGTTGATCAAAACCAATAACTCCTAGTCACCCATCGAACAACTGCAAATTAACCAAAGCAGAACTTGTGTGCACTTTGGGCAACAAAAAGGAATGGTGATTCTGTTGGTCGAGCAGTTTAGGGTTGCACTATGATCTTAGATATGAATTTAAAAGTCGAAAGCCATCAGCAACACAAGGAGTAGGTTCTAGATTTTACCTGGCGGCTTGAGATCTTCACTATGGTCTCATTCACCGGCATGAAATGGCTCAAAGTCCAATTGTGGGAGTAGTGATTTAGTATTAGTCCATAAGTTCAATTCATATCGGAATTAGTTGGTTGTATAGTTCAAGATTTTTTATTTTTATTTTTTCCTTTTGTATCAGGCTGTTGGTTTTGAGGGAGATGTTCGTAAACAGGAAGATGCAAAAAGAGTGGTGGAATCAACTTTCCAGCATTTTGGTAGGCTTGACATACTTGTGAATGCTGCAGCTGGCAATTTTCTTGTATCAGCAGAGGATCTATCACCTAATGGATTTCGAACAGGTTGGATGTTGTAACAATCTTTATCATATGTTTGGACATATGAATTTGTTTATTTTCTTCATTTCGGTATCAAATGAAATTCTCCTTGTGTATGTATGGGCTAAAACTTTTTCAGCCAATGGTTGAGCACTGTTTTTGGTGAAAAACTGCATAAGTGCAAGGTTTTCTCTTGTTTGGGATCTTAATATATCAATTGTAAAAAGAATCTTTTGAAATTTCAAAGATATTAGGTTAACACAAAAAAAAAAAAAAATTATTAAAGCTTGCTGAAATCAAAAGAAAGCAGGAATACGTGGATGCATCCTTAAACTTGTTTGTCAGTTTACTTTTTAAGGATATGGTCCAGCTATCTTAGCCTTTTAACTCAATTGAAATGGGCGAACAGAGATTAAGCAAACAAATCAGATCCGTTATTAGATCTATAGTTGATTTACTAAGGTAAACTCAAAGTTGTAGTACATATTGAGAGTTTTCACTAGATTATCATTGGCCTATTAAAACGTCTTCATTTATAGGTGCTTTTTTTACCCAATGAATCATATATTTCGTTTCTTCCCTGTAGTTATGGATATTGATGCTGTTGGTACATTCACAATGTGCCACGAAGCACTCAAGTATCTTAAAAAAGGAGGGCCCGGAAGGGGCTCATCTGGTGGTGGAACAATATTGAACATCAGTGTTACTTTACATTATACAGCAGCTTGGTATCAAGTCCATGTATCAGCAGCCAAGGTTTGTTCGATATATTTTCAGTTGTTATATCTTGTTTTTGTGATAAGTATATTCAAAATGATCCCTTTCCAACAGGCAGCTGTCGATGCCACTATGAGAAACTTGGCACTCGAGTGGGGAACTGACTACGACATTAGGGTCAATGGAATAGCACCGGGTCCCATTGGTGATACACCTGGCATGAGTAAACTTGCACCTAAGGAGATAAATAGCAAAGCTAGAGATTACATGCCTTTGTATAAACTAGGGGACAAATGGGATATTGCTATGGCGGCTCTCTACCTTACTTCGGATGCAGGTTGGGTAGCCTTTGCTCATGCATTTTAATATCATCATCGTCATCTTTGTAGCAACATGTGATTAGCAATATCAGTATCTCTTGCATAATCGTAAAGTTTTGTGCTGCAACCCCCTTAGAAAAAGAGTATGAAATGCTGCAATTATCGAACTGCAGGAGTCCATCCTGGTTTGATATGTATCTGATTTCAGGACTTTTTGTTCACATTATCTCTTGATGCTTCAGCGTTTTAGCGTCATCCAGTCCCATCATGCGTTCAGTTGAATAAAATATCTGTGCTTAGATTTAGTCAGTCGGAAATAATAGAAAATGAAACCAAGTAACAAAACATTGAGTTGTTCTTGATGCTCGTGTCTACAGGTTCTGTTACTCTTCTCTTTTATCAACATCGCTTTTCCATTTGTATCGTTGGAAACTTATTTGTCATTGTAAAATTTTCAGGTAAATTCATCAATGGAACTGTCATTGTAGTAGACGGGGGACTTTGGCTGAGCCGGCCTCGCCATCTGCCAAAAGAAGCAGTGAAACAGCTTTCTCGAACAGTAGAGAAGAGATCTAGAAATGCACCAGTAGGGGTTCCAAGCAGCAAGTTGTAAGGCATAGGATAAGTACATGACCATTTGTACGGTTACCTCCAACGCTTATAAAACTTAGTTCGCTGCTCATAAGAATTCCAACAGAGGAATCCATTTCCATTAAAAAGGTCGTACCCAGTGCACAAGGCTCCCGCTTTACGCAGGGTCTGGGAGAGGTGAATGTCGGCTAGCCTTACCCCCATTTATGGAGAGGCTGCTCCCAAGTCTCGAACCTGAGACCTACCGCTCATGGACTAAGGCACTTGCCATCGCACCAAGTGCGACCTCTAGAGGAATCCATTTCCATTAATTGTTAATAATTTTCATGTACTTGGATTACTGAGGAATTTGGCGCCACCAGATCGCAAACCTGAATTCTTGTTAAATTCATTGACGTGTGAGAAAATTACAATATCAAAGGTGTAGATTATTGCATTGTAAACTATAATTGTGCGCCAAGAAACCAAGTAACATCTATGCAATGAATCGATAGATGATTTCCAGTAATAGTTTAACATCTATGCAGTGGTGCAGGATATATGTCCAGCGGTTTATACCGCAACTTATCATTATGCGGCAACGGTCCATCCTAAAAATTTAACCAAATAAACGTAAGTTGGAATCATCTCAAGAAACCAGTCTTCCAAAAGGCACTTTGAAGGGAGGAAGAAGAGCTATACCAAGAAACAGATATTATAACAAAAGAAATTATCTAAAACCATTAGGAAACTATTAATTTAAAAGTTGAAACGGATATAAAACAGTAAGACATTAGCAACTACCGAAATAAATACCTGCTCCAAGTCTATCTGAAATGGCTTTACAAAATCCTCAAACATCACTGGAGAAAGGTCCTTAATTTTCTCTTCAACCTCCTATTAATTGGAACACGAGATTGTGAGAATACACACATCTAACAAGTTTGGTGCAAGAATTTCAAAACATGCAAAGTTAAATGTTATCTAATCAACATTACAGTGTTCACAATTAAGAGAAGTGTGTTCTATAACGTACCAAACCAGTAATCCTTGACTTCTCTAATAGTTCCTTCGTAATCATGTCCAATATGTGCCTATTGTTTGTCAAACCATTCATTGCGAGTTCTTCTGTTTCTTCAATGTACTGCAACCAATACCAAATACACACAAAATGTAGTTTTCGATGAAATATATGAGGCCACTATCATTCGACAGGACCACTAACATTCAGTAGTATCCTTTTTGGATAGCATTAGAAATGATACAACAACAACAAAGCCTTTTCCCACTAAGTGGGGTCGGCTATATGAATCCTAGAACGTCATTACGCTCGGTTTTGTGTCATGTCCTCCGTTAGATCCAAGTACTCTAAGTCTTTTCTTAGGGTCTCTTCCAAATTTTCCTAGGTCTTCCTCTACCCCTTCGGCCCTGAACCTCTGTCCCGTAGTCACATCTTCGAACCGGAGCGTCAGTAGGCCTTCTTTGCACATGTCCAAACCACCGTAACCGATTTTCTCTCATCTTTCCTTCAATTTCGGCTACTCCTACTTTACCTCGGATATCCTCATTCCCAATCTTTTCCTTTCTCGTGTGCCCACACATCCCACGAAGCATCCTCATCTCCGCTACACCCATTTTGTGTACGTGTTGATGCTTCACCACCCAACATTATGTGCCATACAACATCGCTGGCCTTATTGCCGTCATATAAAATTTTCCCTTGAGCTTCAGTGGCCTACGACGGTCACACAACACGCCGGATGCACTCTTACACTTCATCCATCCAGCTTGTATTCTATGGTTGAGATCTCCATTCTCTTGCAAGATAGATCCTAGGTAGCGAAAACGGTCGCTTTTTGTGATCTTCGCTAGATTGCTCCGGTCATTACTATGGATAAGTATATAAATGGATAGAGATAGGAAAGCAAACACAAGATGTACGTGGTTCACCCAGATTGGCTACGTCTAATTCTCCGTTCTTTTGCAAGATAGATCATAGGTAACGAAAACGGTCGCTCTTTGGTATTTCTTGATCTCCGATCCTCACCCCTAACTCGTTTTGGCCTCCATTTGCATTGAACTTGCACTCCATATATTCTGTCTTTGATCGGCTTAGGCGAAGACCTTTAGATTCCAACACTTCTCTCCAAACGTTAAGCTTTGCATTTACCCCTTCCTGAGTTTCATCTATCAACACTATATCGTCTGCAAAAAGCATACACCAAGGAATATCATCTTGAATATGTCCTGTTAACTCATCCATTACCAACGCAAAAAGGTAAGGACTTAAGGATGAGCCTTGATGTAATCCTACAGTTATGGGAAAGCTTTCGGTTTGTCCTTCATGAGTTCTTACGGCAGTCTTCGCTCCTTCATACATATCCTTTATAGCTTGGATATATGCTACTCGTACTCCTTTCTTCTCTAAAATCCTCCAAAGAATGTCTCTTGGGACCCTATCATACGCTTTTTCCAAATCTATAAAGACCATGTGTAAATCCTTTTTCCCATCTCTATATCTTTCCATCAATCTTCGTAAGAGATAGATTGCCTCCATGGTTGAGCGCCCTGGCATGAACCCGAATTGGTTGTCCGAAACCCGTGTCTCTTGCCTCAATCTATGCTCAATGACTCTCTCCCAGAGCTTCATTGTATGACTCATTAGCTTAATACTCCTATAGTTCATGCAATTTTGTACGTCGCCCTTATTCTTATAGATAGGCACCAAAGTGCTCGTTCGCCACTCATTTGGCATCTTCTTCGTTTTCAAAATCCTATTGAAAAGGTCAGTGAGCCATGTTATACCTGTCTCTCCCAAAACTTTCCACACTTCGATTGGTATATCGTCTGGGCCTACTGCTTTTCTATGCTTCATCTTCTTCAAAGCTACAACCACTTCTTCCTTCCGGATTCGACGATAAAAAGAGTAGTTTCTACACTCTTCTGAGTTACTCAACTCCCCTAAAGAAGCACTCCTTTCATGTCCTTCATTGAAAAGATTATGAAAATAACCTCTCCATCTATCTTTAACCGCGTTCTCTGTAGCAAGAACCTTTCCATCCTCATCCTTGATGCACCTCACTTGGTTTAGGTCCCTTGTCTAATTTCCCTTGCTCTAGCTAGTTTATAGATATCCAACTCTCCTTCTTTGGTATCTAGTCACTTATACATATCGTCATAAGCCGCTAACTTAGCTTCTCTCACAGCTTTCTTCGCCTCTTGCTTCGCTTTTCTATACCTTTCACCATTTTCATCGGTCCTATCCTTGTATAAGGCTTTACAACATTCCTTCTTAGCCTTCACCTTTGTTTGTACCTCCTCATTCCACCACCAAGATTCCTTTTGGTGTGGGGCAAAGCCCTTGGACTCTCCTAATACCTCTTTTGCTACTTTTCGGATACAACTAGCCATGGAATCCCACATTTGGCTAGCCTCTCTATCCCACACACACTGGGTGATTACTTTCTCTTTGAAAATGGCTTGTTTTTCTTCTTTTAGATTCCACCATCTAATCCTTAGGCACTTCCAAGTCTTGTTCTTTTTTCTCTCTTTTGATATGTACATCCATCACCAACAAGCGATGTTGATTAGCCACGCTCTCTCCTGGTATAACTTTGCAATCCTTACAAGTTATACGATCCTCTTTCCTCATTAGAAGAAAATCTATTTGTGTTTTTGACGACCCACTCTTGTAGGTGATCACATGTTCTTCTCTCTTCTTAAAGAAGGTGTTGGCTAAGAAGAGATCATATGCCATTGCAAAATCCAAGATAGCTTCCCCATCCTCGTTTCTCTCCCCAAAACCATGGCCACCATGAAAACCTCCATAGTTGCCTGTCTCCCTGCCCACGTATCCATTTAAATCTCCTATAAATAACTTCTCCGTCTGAGCAATTCCTTGCACCTAGTCTCCAGGTCTTCCCAAAATTTCTCCTTCGAACTCGTATCCAACCCTACTTGAGGTGCGTACGCACTAATCACATTGATAAGTTCTTGTCCTATTACAATCTTGATTGCCATGATTCTATCTCCTACCCTCTTGACATCTAGAACATCTTGTGTCAAGGTCTTGTCCACGATGATGCCAACACCGTTTCTCGTTCTATTTGTGCCCGAATACCAAAGTTTAAACCCTGAGTTTTCTAGATCCTTTGCCTTACGACCAACCCACTTAGTTTCTTGTAGGCACATAATATTTATCCTTCTCCTCACCATAACTTCCACTACTTCCATAGATTTTCCCGTTAAGGTTCCTATATTCCACGTTCCTAAACGCATTTTGCTCTCTTGAACTCTACCCTTCTGTCCTAGCTTCTTCACCCTCCCCCGTCTAATAGGATCAAAGTACTTTTGTGTGTCCCGTGTAAAATTGATAGGAGCATATGCTCCCAAAAAACTTTGAGTGGAGTCGTTCGAAAAGAAGTTTCTATGGCCCCCTTGCTCATTTAACACTGCATCCGGGTGCCGATGGAGATACAGCGACCCTTGCTCACTTATCACTGTGCTCGGGCCACACAGCGCGCCACTTACGGGTGACGCCCTAGCTTTAGCGCGATTTCGTTCTGGATTCATTTTCATAAGGATTCGACGTAATCATGGAGTGCCGGCTGTCGACTACCTGACGCCCTCCCCCTCCTCCTTTATCCGGGCTTGGGACCGGCAATGTAAGATAAACTTACACAGGCGGAGTTAATTAACGGCTGCTAACAAATCCCTAAAAATAGAAGAGAAATTGTAATCTCTAAACTCCACTGAAACCGAAGCCCAAAGGGCTGCCCAGTGTTTTACTCTATCCCAAAGCTCCTCAACCCCCACTCCCTTGTAATCCTCAAAGACTCTTTTATTACGCTCCAACCAAATGTTCCAGAAGAGGGTCATCAACAGAGATCCCCACAAAGTTTTGGCTTTGCTCCCTTTCCCTAGGCCTTCGAACTTAGTGCTTAGGAGCTCAAAACAGCCCTTTGGGGTGACCCATCTTGCTCCAACTTCCTTGAGCAATTTCCACCAAAGTTGAATGCTATACGGACAATGGAGGAAAACATGGTTGGCGCTTTCCTCCCCGGATTTGCACAAAGCGCACCAATGGGGGGAGAAGCATGCAAAAGGCATTCGTCTTTGGACTTGATCACAAGTATTAACCTTCCCAAGCGCCACTAGCCACACAAGGATTTTGACTTTTGGAGGCACTTTTGCTTTCCATATCTGAGAGAAAGGGGGAAATTGTTGCACATCTTCATTGTTGCAAAGGAAAGAGTTATAGGATTTGCAAGTGAACTGGCCAGAACCTTCTAAATTCCGTCTTCTCCTGTCTTCTCTAGAATGGCACAACCGTACGGACTCCACCTTCTGCAGTAAACCAGCCACCTCTTCAATCTCCGACTTTCTTAGGTTTCTCCTAAACTCTAAATTCCAACTGACCGGCTGTAAAGAAGAAACTACCAAATTGGAAATACTTTGGTTTTTTGTCCTTGATAAAGAAAATAATCTAGGGAATTGCTCCTTCAACGGTCCGCCCTCCAACCAACCGTCCTCCCAGAATCTCAGCCTCTCTCCGTTACCAACCTCGAAGTTGCATGAGTGAAGAAAGGAAGGGTAACCAGCCGAGATGTCTGACCAGGGACACCTGCTCGAGCCTCGACTCGGACAATTAGCGTCCCAACCATTTGGCACCAGACCGTACTTGCTCTTTATCACCCTATGCCAAAGAGAGTTTGATTCGCGCCGGAATCTCCACAGCCACTTGGCTAATAAGGCGGCATTCCGATTTCTCAAATTTCCCAGACCAAGGCCACCTTCCTCCTTGCTTTTACACACTTTCTCCCACTTGACCAAGTGAAACTTCTTTCCTTCCTCAACCCCTTCCCTAAGAAACCCTTTCATTAGCTTTTCCAATCTCCCAATGACCCCGCGTGGGGCTTTGAACAGGGACATGTATATGGGCAAGGATCCCAGGACAGCTTGGATCAATGTTAATCTTCCGCCTCTAGATAAAAAAGCTTTCTTCCAACCCAGAAGTCTCAATTCCACCTTCTCTACCACCGGGTCCCAGAACTTAATAGATTTTGGCTTGCCTCCGAGGGGGAGACCCATGTATCTCATTGGCCAACTGCCCACCTCACAGCCCCATGAACAGCTAGCAGTTTCTTCTTTTCCGACGACACCTATGATATAATTACATAAAACTCAGTGATCAAATAAAAATCATACAACACTTGTTACTGCTGAGGAAACCACTAAAGAATAATCAACACAGACATACACTCTGTTCGCATTTCCGTTGCTCTTCTTCAGTGAGTAGTACACCCATACCCTCAACCAATTGTTTATCTAATAC